CGACGCTTAATAATTAGCAAAAATATCTAAAATAAACCTTAGCAAGAAGTCATTAATCACCTGTAAATTTGACGTAGATTAAATATGTAAACACGACCACAGATCAAGCTATACAAAACCAGCATACGTTGACCGTCAAATGTGCAGAAACATCATACGAAGTGAGATCATGATAACCTGGTTTTGTATGGATTGACGTGTTGCCGTGACCAACTACATAACTATGTTCAATGCAAAATGCACATTGTTTCAGTTCCTCTGCAACAACCTTAAGACTGTAAGATATATTATAATGGATGACTTCTATGTGACATTGGTGATAACTACTACATGTCTGTAGCATAAAACAAAAGGATCTTAACTCGGGGAAATAAATAAGACGTCGGCTTCCAACTACCTAAAGACATTAATGGTTTTAAATGATTTGGTTGATAACTATCAAAAAAACTGAAATACTAAATGAATATCATTTTTAACGAATATATAATGTCCTAAATCAGAGTCCACTGATAATGGGGAGTGGAATCTTGAAACTGGCGCTCTTCCTGTGAGTATGGTATAAGCCAACTAGGCGAGACTGCACATTCGATACAGACCGTCCAGCAGCGCCCTCAGATCAACTTGTACCTTCTAAGCTGCAACTTACAATCTGTCCGGCAACCTGAAGGTCCTTGAGTGGACTCTCATTGGCTATTCAGGTGTGATATCAAAAGTTATAGTGACTTTTTCTAAGTTATAGTGACCGTACTATCCACTAATGATAGCTCAGTATTAGACTATGTGAACTGAGTCAACAGTTCTAGAACACGTAGGTAATGAGTCATATATTGCAGTGGTCATTAAGTCAACGGCATAAGAACTATTATCTCATTGGGGCAATAGGTCTGTTACACCGTTTGAAGACCTGTATTCTATAGTCTCTATACAGTATGGTATGGTAATTATTATGAAGAAGCTAATAATACGTAGAATAATCTGGGTTCAGTTTGATAAGTTGTTTATAGCACAGAAGGTGATATACATTGTCGCACTAATTGAGTTCAAATGGTAACAATGAGGTACGATTTTGGACCTCGAGGCAGGAAAATATTGAGTAACTTTAATACATACTTAACTTCACACCTGTCTCCCATGGAGGTAGGTAGAGACTATGGACCGCCAATTGCTATGATTCATACATATCTCTTTCGCTTCATCAACAGTCATCAGTCTTTTCATGCATGCTCATCGGTTACGAGTACTTTTAATTTGGCCCTTCTTTAATATATCGCCAATTTGGTCAGTAACTTTAAGAGGTCGGGATATGTTAGAAACAGTCAAAGATAAACAAATAGTTAACCTAATCTTTCATTTCATAACAGGCAGATGGCATGTATTTTCAGTATACTTCCATCGGATCAGTTATCCTATGAGATCAGTTAAAGTGACTCACAATTCGTTAGTAATGACTTGTTTACATAGGTAGGTATGAAACAGATCCTCAGATTTTCTACAACAATAGTTATTACTTACCATTTAATTAAGCCTTTATTTCTCATTTCATAAAAATAATTAATCTCAATTGTATCGATTTTTTTTAATTAACACGTAAATAAAGTCTATAAGGCATCTTGTTTTTGCAAATATTTGCTATTGTGACCTTGAGCGGTGCAGAAAAAGATCTCTACATACATAAGTACATTGATTACATTAAAATGCGCCTGATTCGATCACACATTGACGGCTAGCTAGTAGCATACCAACAGCACCCACACACAGTTCATGTCATGATGATCATAACTGCTGAATTTTTTTGATGAAAAACTTCAGTTCTTCTTACTTAGGTAGAAAACAAAGTTAATAGCTACATTTATTTTGTTAGTAAGTATCACATCATTCTAAAGAGGTATCTAACCAAAAACTTGATAGAGTGTTATTTAAACAATGTGTAGGTAATTAGATATCAACCGAATCTCAGGGAAGACGGTAGCAAAGTGGTCACGTGCACGTAGATGTGGACACGAAGGTCTCCCTAGGAATATGCTGTAACAGGCGTTGCAATAGCAACGTGGGGTCTCAGAAGCATGTCTCTTCAAAGGAACCCGGTGCTGAGGGTGGCCATCGGGTTGGTTTTAGTGAGGTACGAATCCAACTCTCCCTGGTCTTTCTCCCCAAAAAGCTAGACGCTTTTTGAAGGGTTCCCTTCATCAAAATAAAAAAGTTATCAACAGAATACTGCTGAAGATCAAGTTCAGTGATACCACTGCCGTACTTACCGTACCGTACTTCCGTATTTACAGTAAGGAGAGGCCTATGTCCAGTACCTAGTGGACGGAAATGTCCTATTAGATAATGCTAGTAATGATGATTGACGGGATTGAGGATAACAATTGACATGGGGCTATTAACTATTTTAGTTTTACTCAATGCTAATTACAAATGTATTTGAAAAAGCTAGTGTAGGTTAGTTCTATTACTCTAAGAGCCGATTTGTCCAACTTCTCAAATATATTTTAACTTTGAATCTTTATTCTTCCATATATTTAAAACTGTCAAATGTCAATTTTATTCAACAGTTAAAAATTAAATGTTTATAAAAAAATCGGCCTAAAAATGTAGAAAACTGTACTATGTACCTAACCATTATTATCTGTTTTGTACTGTTATTATTATATTAAGTATTGAGCAATATCGCGAGAAAGTTTAGTACAAATTGAACAACGGTCATGTCCTGATAAATTCACTCAAACGTCTTGTTTCTTGTCTTTTTTGAACATAAATTATTGTTATGCAATTATGCTACTGCCGTTGTTGCTCGAAAATCTCAATTTTGGGGTAAATAATGTTAAGGATTTATTGTCATAAGGGCTTTAGCCAGTTTGGCATAATGTGTGTTTACATAACGAAATACTTTGGTTAAAAAAGTTATGATTTTTATCGTTTTAAAAGTTACCTGTAGATATTGTTTTTGAATTGTTTTCGAAGTATGCAGAGGTATCCAGTTTGTGTGCTTCTAATAACTAACCTATTTGAGTAATTGTTTATTCAGGAAACTGGCATTTGTGTGTGTCCTAGACCCCAGAGCAATTATAGGATGACCTACTGATGATGGAATACAGCATGTTCTGTTATATGCCTAGTTATTGCTTTTATTCCGAGTTTCCTCATCGCTGTAGATATTATAGAGAATCATTGAGAAACAAGACTTATAAATCAACGATCAAATGCAATAGAAATATATATTTTGATGCAAGAAAGTCTTTCAATCAAAGTCAAAATCATTTATTTCCATTAGACCAGGAAGGCAAAGGTCGTCAACAACAAAAATTTAGAAATGAGAAATTCAGAGATTAAGTATCGCGTCTAAATAAATAGGTATAGTTAGTAACTCGTCAGTTTTTACTTGAATGTCATCAAGATTGTTATATAAAGTAATATGTTTAACATGGTATTGGCAATAGCAAATTGGGTGATACAATTACAGTTTAAGGTCATACTACCTACTGGCTACACGCAAAAGTAAAAAGTGAGATTGAATTTTGTATCGTTTTTAAAGCATTTTTCGAAGGCGATCTACTTCGTTGATTCCGCTTAGGTATAATCTACATAACTTTTTAATTAATTAGTAATCCGAATGTCTAACCTCGATATGAATTTACACTCTCAGTTTTAGCAACAAAAACATCTTAATATGGAATTATACGTTATTTAACGAAATCAACTAGTGAACTCGACGAGTTGTCATTTTCGTTTATTTATGAGTATTGTATATTGTAAGTATATTGATATCTATTTACATGCTAAGTTTTACGTAATAGCATAATCACTGTGCTATGATACCTGTGTCATTAGAACTAGTAGCTACTGTGGTTGCACATAACGAGTGACCGTTTACGACATTACAAACTAAATAACAACCTACTCCATATTAACTAAGTACATAATTGGATGACATATACATAGATGCAGGTAGGTAGTATACACGTTGTGTGCAGAGGTGTATTTATTTCAAAGTCAATATTAACATTTTAAGGAAATTTATTACGACTGTCTCTCATTTGGTAATGTGGTATGGGTAGCTGTTAGCCGTAGGTAGACACAGTTGCGTCACTCATCTCTGTCAATAACACATAATAAAAGTCTCTGTTGGCGGATAATGTGTTTCATAAATTCATGTTTAAATGACGGCTGTTTTTATGTCTACTTTAAACCTATACACGTTTTTATTTCACACAAACCGCGCGCCACTTGTGGATAAAAATAGGGAAGTAAACAAATCTAAAAAAATAGGAATTCTATCGTTGCTTCGTTGCTGGCGCGTCTGTCCATGACTTATGTGTTATAGTTGCGAACAAGCTAACATGATTAACTTATATCTAATAACGCGGGCTCAGGCTTTGCCGCTCGCAGCATTTCCATTATCATAATACGTAACAATGTCAACAAAACAAACGTTTGGCCGCAATTTAGGAAAAATCTTAAGCACAGGCAACACTCACCGTGTGTAGATGCAGGTGTCAACAATCACTAGCGACAAATCCACTCACTACGTCCACTGACGCGGGCAAATAGTTTTATTTCACTTGGTTTTCTCGAGGGGAAAACTAATGAAGTATCGAGTACGTACGACGCGCGTGACTGCGAGCGAAACACGACCGTCATCCGCCGGCGTGGAGGTGCGACTGAGTGAGTGTGTCTGTTCGTCTTTCCGTTGGTCCCACCACTCGGATAAATTCAGCGGCCGCTAAGCTGCGCCGGCGCAGGGGACCTGACCGATTTACCTCGCCTTCTGCTGCCCACTTAAACAACAAGATGTCACTAATACTTTGAATCTATTGCATTACCGATCGATAATGGAGTAGTTAAAACCTTTTTACATTGATTACAAAAATCAAGGACGATGTTTTACCGCATCAGTGAAATTAAAACATAATGTCATCGGTCAATGTCATGTTTCTGTAACAACAATTTGTTTTATAAATAGGTGGTTAATATTTTTAGATCACTGATATTCCCTCAAAATGTGGAATCCAGAGGATTCTCAGTCTCGCCTGGCCCCTCATCCAACTGAACAGAGTGTATCAACTAACAAAATAAGTGAGTCCTTGCCGTTGGATGAAATCGACGAGAGCACGGCATCGTCGGTAGTGGTACCTCTTCCTACGAAAGTGCATGCTCGTAAAAGCAAAATTTGGAGAGATTTGGGAAATGTGTCAGAAGAATCTTCCCATACGAAATTTTATAAGCAAAACAGAGAGAAAAAGGAGTTCGAACAGACGACCAGGGAGGAATTCTACAGTATATCCGAGTCGCTATCAGGGTCATCAGACACTTTCGAGTGTATCCATGGCCCTCACGGCAAAGAATACACGGCGAAAGGGTTGCTGAAAAGAAATCTTTTGAAGAACTTGGATCCCATTCCGAAAGGTACTCACTATGTAGATTAAATTGTACTTTGAAAACACCCAAATGTAGCTTTAGAGATAATAACGACTTCAAAATTTGTTAATTTAACGTGACTAACACGTCATTTATTTCTTTATTTCAAGTTAAACCTAATTCAATGTTTTCGCCTCCTATTCACCCCGTTTCCTTGCTATCATTTCATGTGCCTACATCAAATTTTGGTTGTGATGCCCACATATAGCAGACGGCACAGTATTTATGAAAGTGCACTTCAACAAATAGAACGTTTGTCCTTTTATTACATTTATGTGCACTTTCCTTCACCCACTTACCCCTTTTAATCAGTTGCCATAATGATTTCTCGTACTGCGATGGTGACTTTGGTGACATGAGCTGCATACTGCTGCTGTTGTCTTCACTTTGCAATTGCTAGTCCCATACAGAGTCCCAAAAATGACATTCAGAACATAGGTCTTACATGACATTTTTGTATCTCCCATAAATGCAATACAATAATTATGTTGATTGACATGTGGCGCTGGTTCGTCGACAGTTATTTTCTATGCCAGTCTCATTTCAAGTGTCATTTCTAAATTCTATAATCTAAAAATCTTGGTTTTCTTCATTCGCAGTAACCAAACTAATGACATAACATCATA